ACATGAGTTTGAAATTTTGAAAGAAAAGTGAAGGATAAAAAAAGTCACAATGTATATTTAAGTATTTTTTGAAAAACTCAAGGTACCATTAAGTCAATTTATGAAAACCTATGTTATGCTTAAGTCTTTTACCTGTACTTTTATTGATAATGAGAATGAAATACACAATTTAAAACTGACCAAAATTAAAATTATTTTGCTATTTGGCAAAGATCAAAAAGTTCAACTTTTGGGTCAAATGTGTTAACATTTAATGTCATAAACAAATTATAAAATTTAATAAAATATAAAAACACAGAAAATGAAAAAAAACATAAATTTTGTAAAAAAAAAACATTTAGGCACATGTATAATATCATATAATTACCATATTAAACAAAAAGTAAGTGTGGCATATCAAAATTATTTTAACACATAAAAATACAAAAAAAAAAGAACACATCTATGATTCTATATTTACACTATTATTAAAAATATGAATAAGATTGTAGAACATTATTTTGACTAAAATATTTGTTTTTTAATTTAGTCCATATTTAATTGCGAGGCTTAAATTATAAATTAAACTACTTCTTTCACCTTATTCAATTTCCTATATTTAAATATTACATTTTTTTTATAATTTGACAAAAATAAGATACACAAAAAAAAAAACATTACGAAGAGAATAATCTAACTAACTGGGTAGGCCTATCAATGATACTTGAAATTTTACAACTCGATTCAATTATCATATATTTGGATGATGTGTATATGTAACTAGATTAATAATAAAAAACAAAAAAGTACATATTTATATACATTTTGGATATATAATTACTATTATTACCATCATTTAAATTTGACACGTATAAAGCACGTGCACACTTACTAGTACTATATACAAAAGTGTGAATGCATAGTGAAAATTTTTTGACTAAAATTACCTTCTATTTATTTGTTTGATAAAGGGTATGTAAGCCATTTTATTATAAATTTAATTATAATTTTTTATGGCTACTAAAATGTCCATATTTGTTTATTTATTACATATTTAATTGTAAGGGTTGAAAATATAGCTTTAATTATTACTTTCCACCTCATTTAGTCCATTGTACTTAAAGGTATTAACTCTCATTTTCTCTTATTAAATCATATATTTAAGTTATTTTTCACCAATAATTTATTTAAGTTATGTTAGTGTTTTTAACAATATAAATCCATATATTTTAAAATAGGTTAAAAAACAAAACTATTTTTTATCAAAGTGGTGGCTAAGCAATTCAATTATCATAATCAAAATGATAAACCTATGAAATTATAGTTAGGTAATAAAATAAAAAAATAAAAAATAAATATAGAACATTACAGATATTAATAATGAAAAATGAAATATATACTTTAAAACTGACCAACAACGAAATTATTTTACTATTTTGCAAAGAACAATGGTTCAACTTTTGGGTGATCAAATGTGTTAACATTTATTGTTGTAAATAACTAATAAAAATATAAAAACACAAAAGAAAGTAAAAAATACATAAATGTTACAAAAAAATAATTTAGACACATGTATAATATTAATTAATTATCATATTAAACAAAAAGTAAGTGTGACATATCGGAATTATTTTTAACAAAAAAAAAAATATATATATATATATAKAGAGAGAGAGAAAAAATTGAATACATCTATAATTCTATATTTACAATTGTACGCTGCTATTAAAGATATAAATAAGATCGTTGAACTTTCTTTTGTATAAAATACTCATTTATGAATTTAGTCCCTATTTAATTGTGAGGTTTAAATTGTAAATTGAACATTCGAATTACTATTTTCACCTCATTCAATTTTCTCTATTTAAATCTTACATTTCATTGATAAATGAACAAAAAAACACCAAATAATAATAATTCCAATTTTGGATACACTATTAGTATCATTATCATCATTTTAAATTACCGTTTACTAATATATATATATGTATATATGTATGTACTAGTAAACGTAGGTAATTTTAAATAATGATAATGATACTAATAATGTATGTAAACAAAAAATAAATAAAAATATATATTTATAAACAATATTTCGATACATTATTAGTATCATCATCATTTAAAATTACCACGTGCAAAGCACATGCACATTTAATAGTATATACATACGTTTCGTACATACATACATACATACATACATATGCATGTCAACAACCCTCTCCTTTCAACATATGCACTGATATATTTTCCCATTTTTCATTTGTTTTGTTTGTTTTAAAATATAAAATAATAGTCATAGTCATTAATAAAGCTGCATATCATAATCATTCATAAAGTTGCACACTATTTCCAAGAGAGAGGGAGAGAGTTATAACTCATGATACAAAGCCCTAATATCAATAAAATAACAAAGTATTATTAAATTAATAATAAGATAATAGTAAAATAATAGTGCCATAATAAAATGTTAATAAAATAATAATAGCAAACAAATATATTAGTTATTAAGTATAATAATAACGTATAAATAAAATATTAATATAACTAAGTGATATTACTAATAATAAAATAATAAAATACAAATATTATTATTAATAATTAAATATTATCAAGCACAACTAATATATTAACATAATATATTCATTATAAATACTAAGATATTAATTATTAATACTAATAAAATAATAATAACAATAAAGTACTAATAAAATAATAAAATATTAATAATTTTGTTGGTTGATTCAAATTCAAACTCCAATTGAACTAAAGTACAACAATCATAATCTAATTTTGATTGTCTATGAACCAAATATGTGCCAATAATAGGTGATTCTAATTCTAATTCCAAATGATTCCAATTATGGTCCTATTCGTGAACCAAATATACCCTAAAACAGATTTATCTTCTAAAAAATATTAATTTAAAATCCACTAAATTTGTTGTTTTGTGTTTTATTGTTTAACCTCAACCTATTTAGATTGGATCAAAATTGGATATCTAGTTTCCTCAATGGATTTGGATTCAAATCATAATTTGTGATATCAAATTGAATCATATTGGGATATAACTCAATTGCTCCACTAATTATCTATTTTCTCAATTACTCCATTATATTGTTTTTTTTTTGGGGGGGGGGCTTCTCTTTTTTCCTTCATTATTTTTATTATATTTTATCTCTTATCCTCGTTAATAATATAATAAACCAAAAGCAATTTTAATATGTAACAATCTTATTGTGTTTTAAATGACCCAAAAACTATAAGGTAAATAAGATAATTATTTTTAAAATACACATGTATAATAAATGCATATAAATATAAAATATTAAATTTATTATTATAATTTTTATATAATTACACATAATATCTATATGTATACATAATTATACTACACATATATACTAATATTCTGTTATTAGAGGTGGAATTTTATCAAATCGGATGAGGTTAAATTTGCATCCAATTCAATTATTTATCAAGTGCAAGTTCTAACATCAAAAGCATGGATTATCGAATTCGAAGTCTAATTAGGTATTTGACTTTTGGAGTCCAATGATGGCCTTGGTGGATAGGGCCCAAGTTAAGCAACTCCCAAATTCAACGTGGAAGTTAAATGCATATATGGTAAATGTTATTATATAATATTTAGATAGTAAGTTTGTTATATATATATACAATACATAAAATTAAGCAAAAAAAAAAATCATAGTTTCATAATTAACATGGGTAAGCCTGTCAACATCTTAAGCCTATATGAATATTATTACGCTTGAGGTGTGGGCAAGGTTAGACCAGGCAACCTTAAAAACTATTAATAGACTATAAAAGTTAGATTGGAGGGGGCTTAAATCTAATTGAAAATGTCAAATTGCTCTTAGGAGTGCAACTTTGGAGGGTTGGGCCACGATGAAGATCAACTCAAGCCTAACTCAGTCTTAAACCTCGAGCTTGGGCTTAGATTAAATTAATTATGACTAAAAAAGTTAATTTATAGATTAATTTAGTTATGATTATAGCCTAATTTTATATGTTTACTAATGCTTAAGTATTTTAAATATTTAAATAATATTTACAAAAAGTTATAACATTTAATCATTAATAAAATAAAGTTAAAAAAGGAACACCAATAGGTAGTATGGAAAAATAATTATATTATTAAGTAATTATCAATACTAAATTACTAAATTATTAATATAATTAATCCAAAATTACTAAATGGTTTCTATAACAAATTATTAAAATAAAAATCAATTATTTTAAACACCATTGTATTCCTTTTCTAATTATAAATTATGATTGTTTTTTCTTTTTTTTAATAACTAAATCCCATACATCACACAAATCCCCACTAATTATATTATGATACGGGCCAGGGTAGAGATTAGCTTTTATAAGGCAAACCTATACCCACGTCGTTCTAACAGCCTTTCCCAATCTTGCCTTGGGAATTTAAGGTCATAAAATATAGCACACAAGTATTGAGATATTCTCAAAGAGAGCTACTCGAACGGGCTTTGCCTTTGACTGAAGCCTAACTCGCGAGGGCAAAAATATCATCATTGAATACATGCGCGCGTACACTGAACGCCGGTCCACAATAAACACCTTTGTCTTTGATGGTCCATCATCACCCATGGCCCAACAACCTCTCTCTCTAGGGTGAACAGAGAACTGAGAACCCACCCTATCAACAACCACCAAATATTATTGAACGTTTCTCCACGTACGAAATTAGATGGATAATACGGCCTCTGGCACCGTCGGTGCACTCATCCACGTATTTCTAGTTCGCAGTGGAGTTGGGAGTTGGGACAACGGAAAAAGTTTGTCCGGTACTCAATAAATTTTTAGGTCTATATACCGTTGATCGCGAGATCAACGGCGTAGCAATCTTTGCCACCATATGGTTCTCTAGGTCATTTGGCCACTTGATCAGACAAAACCCGGCCCAATGGCCAAAACAGCCCCCAACCCACGACGTCCCAAATACAGTCTCGTTGTTAAAAAGACTATTATATACCMTTATTTCGATTTCCCGATCCATCGCTCATTTCTGATGCCCGAAGCCACGTGCAGCTCCACCACTGATATTTCTTCCTGTTTGTCTTCCTTCCTTCTTCCTCTTTTCTTCCATTCCGGCGCAAGATAGCCTCCATGGCAAACGCATGAGTCAGAGTTTCTCATTGCCCTCTGCAATTTCCTGGATTAGAATTCCTATCCACTTCTATTTCTTAGATTTTTTTCACTATGAAGCTCAGGACGCTTTAGAATTTTTCACTTTCCTTTATTGCAAACTATTCTGTTATTTCACTGTTCAATTTAAAATCGGAACAAGATGATGGGTTCTGGTAACCAGGACTTCGATGAAGCCCAGCTGTTTGCATCTCGAGAGGAAATGGAGAGCCTCATTCTCGATGAGCCTTCGAACGGAAAATCTTTCTCTGATTACCGGAGCGCGATGTCTTCTGTCTCTGTCTCTGAAACTCACCATCCATTGTCGCCGCCAATCGTCGGCATAGGAGACAGCGACGACCCCCTGCTGTCGTCTCCATCTTACAACAGAGACCATCGAAACCCTAATATATCCGAGAACTCGTACCTGGAACCCCCATCTTACGCAGATGTCATCTTCAGTCCGTTCAGCGATAAGAATGGCGAGGTGAACGGAGTCGAGAACCCTATCTATGATTCAGGAAAATCCGGAGTTCTATCGAGATCAGCTTCGTCGAATTCTGAGTACTTCAAGATTTCGGTGTCAAATCCTGTAAAAGAGCAGGAGACCTCGAATTCGCTTGTTCCTGGAGGAAACACTTACTATACGTATCTGATCACGACGAGAACTAACATGCCCGAGTTTGGTGGATCGGAGTTCAGCGTGCGGAGGCGCTTCAAAGATGTGGTAACATTGTCCGATCGGTTATCGGAGTCTTACAGAGGTTTCTTTATTCCACCGCGACCGGATAAGAATGTAGTGGAGAGTCAGGTCATGCAGAAGCAGGAATTCGTGGAGCAGAGGCGGGTGGCCTTGGAGAAGTATTTGTCTCGATTGGCAGCACATCCGGTGATCAAGAAGAGTGAGGAGCTTAGGGTGTTTTTACAGGTTCAGGGGAAACTTCCATTGCCAACGACTACCGATGTGGCTTCCAGGATGCTTGATGGTGCGGTCAAGCTTCCAAAGCAGTTGTTTGGGGAATCTGCTAGTGTAGTTGCTCCGCATGAGGTTGTGCAGCCCGCCAAAGGAGGAAGGGACCTGTTGAGGATCTTTAAGGAATTGAAGCAGTCAGTAGCCAATGATTGGGGTGGCACGAAGCCGCCAGTAGTCGAGGAAGATAAGGAGTTTCTAGAGAAGAAGGAGAAGTTGCAGGATCTCGAGCAGCAGCTCAGCAATGCATCTCAGCAGGTAGTTTGACTTGTATGTTTTTCATATTTATTTGGTTTTCTTTTCACTATTTTTTTTATTTTTATTTTTAAATTTGGAACCCTTGGAAAGTTGGTTTTCACCAGGATGTTGTATCCTTACTCTGGCTGTGCAGGCTGAGTCTCTTGTCAAGGCCCAACAGGACATTGGAGAAACAATGGGGGAATTGGGTCTAGCATTTATTAAACTAACAAAATTTGAAACGGAGGAGGCCGTAAACAATTCTCAAAGAATACGAGCTGCTGATATGAAACGCGTGGCAACAGCTGCAGTTAAAGCAAGCAGATTCTATCGGGAATCAAATGCTCAGACAGTAAAGTATTTGGTAAAGTACAATCCTTTTGTTACTGATTGAAGTTATAAGTTTGAACTTAAAAATGTAAGCCGATGTTGCATTAAGGTTTGGATATTCTTTTCCTTTTGACAAGTTATAGGTTTGAATATTCTGAATTTCCTGTACAAAATATCTTTTAGTGGATTTATCAAGTTAGTTGAGAAATTTCTAAATTCATAAGAAAATTGATTTCATACTCTGTATTTGAAAGCATTTCAAAATTGAATCAACAGATATTAATTCATAGTCTCTTGTCAAGTTTCTGAAACATCTTATTAGCGATGAATGAAAGTGGTGATTTTAGTCCAAGGGTTTTGTGCTTCAGTATGGTATTGCTGTTTTTGTTATACTTGAATCAAATTGTGTATCTTGCAGGACACACTTCATGAATATCTTGGATTGATGCTAGCTGTCCACAGTGCATTCTCAGATAGGTCAAGTGCTTTATTGACAGTACAAACTCTTCTATCAGAACTGTCTTCCTTGCATTCAAGGGCTGAAAAACTTGAAACTGCATCATCCAAAATATTCGGTGGCGACAGATCCAGGATTCGCAAAATAGAAGAGCTGAAAGAAACTATAAAAGTTACTGAGGATGCTAAAAGTTGTGCAGTTAGAGAATATGAAAGGATCAAGGTAATTTGTGTATTCCTGATATTCTCAAAATGCACCTGAAACTGATGCTATTTTTTTTGTTATTTTATTGTGGTTATTGGTTTATTGGCAATTTCTGTAAAAGGTTGTTAGGATCTCTAATGTGTTGTTTGGTGACAGTTATTATTATTCCAAAGTAATGGTGTAGTTGATAAAAAAATGACTTAATGGTGTTAAACACTTGAAGCCTTCCATGATGTAGAGAACCTGTGTCTTACATATATAAAACCTTGCTTGGTGCCAAGAAAACTGATCAATCTTTTAAGAGAGAAGGAAGGCTACTAAAATCTGGTTTGAAATCTTGTCTATCATAAATCACTATACAATGTCATAACATTTTTGGTAACATGCCGTGCCATAACTTAAAAACTTTAGTTTATATATATAATTTTGGAGGGTCTATGGTTCAATGCTTCTGCAGTACAGAAATATAATGTAATTCACTTGTAGTCAGTGAAATCAGAGTCATGAAGGCAAATGCTACTCTCATAATTGCAGTTCCTCTTTCTAGAGATGCTATATTTTCAGAGTAGCAATTTAAGTTTTGCACGTACTTTCAGCTTTGATATTTGCTCAATATTATCAAAAGCAAAGAGCAAAAGATTAAATATAGATAGGGAAAAATATGGTGTAGGACAATTTTTCTGTATGTATCCGTTATAAAATTATACATGTATGTATACATAGTATACATGCATATATACATATGTATTTATACTAATATGGTACAGAGAAGTTCATGTCCAGGTTGGTTTCAAGAATTGAAAATATTGTATGCTTTTCTATATGTAACAAAAATGACATTTTTTGGTAACAAAGTTAGAATCTATTACGAATGCTCGTATGTAATTATGTATAAATATAATTATATCTATATATTTGTCATGAACAAACATATATAGTACATTGTTTAGAATTCAAGTAGTTATCAATACGTCTTGAATTGGAATTATATTTAAAATAATGGCATGCTATTATATACTTAACTGGACTGATCTATAGTGGAATTAGATATGAAATGTGAAGAACATCTTCATATGCCGTCCATGTGTGTACATTTCCCAATACTCACATGTAATAATTTCTGTTGCTAATCTAAAATAAAGAAAAAGAATCCTTATTTTGGGAATATTTTTCAAATGCTATTGTTATTTCATACCCAAATAGTTTGTTAAAGATATATTTATTTAGGATAATATAAACTCATTGGTTTTATATAGTCCAGGAGTGGAGAATATGCCGCATCTAGAAATAGGAAGTCTTGCACCATCTCCATGGAATGCTTTAAGTTAGCTTAGGGATGACTTTTATTTTAGGGTGCTTTCTTTCATGGATGTATGTCTTGCGTTCAGCTTCCAATGAGACTTTGACCTGCATGAATTCTAAGGATGCTTTCTACATGTAATCAATCCCATTTGAGTAACAACCAATATGATGGGTTGTCAAATGCTATTTGTGCATTTTAAGCCAGCAATGATGGAGAATAAGAATGATGAGTAGGCTTGATGCAGGAACTGTTGATGTCAGCTGAAGTGGATGAACTGAAAGTCTTATTGCTTTACCTTTTAGTGAAAAAGTTTTTAAGGAGGTTGTAAGCTCCTTAATGGATGAAGCTGAAGTTGGGTTGATTACTATACCCTCAGATGTTTTATTAGTTAATTATTTTATCCACTAAAAGTCAAAGCAATTGGTCATTCAGTTCAGCGGCTTCATCCATTTTCAAACAGCCCCTGAATGCTTATAATATACTATGATTTGCTAGGGAAACACATTTAAGTGATGAGTACAATTTTGTCATTCATTCACATGGTAATCTTGATGATCTCTAACAGGCATGTTAAGGTGGCCATATTGTTGATGTGCTAAGTCATGTAATATTGTTATTTGTTAAAATAAGAAATGCTCTTGCACTAGCAGGATGGAGCAGTTTTGCCTGTTTTGCAAGTTTTCGTTCACAATTAAGGCCAAGCATTTGGTTAATTATCAAATGAAAGATGGGCAATTTGGCCCTGCACAGAAACTCATAGAGGTTAAAGTTTCTTTTAGTTTTATTTTTTATTATTTTTTAATATTTTTTTAATATTAAGTTCAGGATTCAATCCTTTTTGCATACCTGATGGCATAGAATATTTCCAAGAACAAAATATTAAACTACAACAGCGAATTGTTGTCAGCAAGCCAAAGGCCATTGAATTGTTTTATGCACTTGGGGTGATACGATATATGGCTACTGAGAGGATATTATGACAGTTTAGCTCTTTGAGCCACTAATAAGACATATGTTACAGAACAGCTCATGGAACTGTACGATACTGCCTGCTAGGCTTAAGAAAAGTGGTAAATATCAATCTAACTGTACAGTTATGGCAAGACAAAAATGGCTGGCTTGCTGTGAGCTTATAGCTACTCTGCTCATGTTAAATATAATATCTACTGGTTGCTCATTAAAATGAAACAGAATATACCTTGTAGCTGCTTAGTGAAAAAATGGAGAATTACCCATGTTAATTATGCCCTAATTACATTTATTCCTTAATTGCTCATATCCTTTCCATTGTATTCGTCCTCTTCAATTGTTATAATAGTCTGTTTCCTAAGAAATGGCTGTTATTATCTTAAAAAGAGAGAATAAAACCATTGGAAGTGGAGACTACAAATAATGAAATATGACATGCTAAAGATAATATTATATTGGCAATTATTAGACAAATATAACATTTTAGCGCAATAAATATTGCAGACTTCTGAGATGGTGCCTGTTGCCTTGATCAAGGGTATCTCATAGTCACCAAATGCAAGCACCTTGCGGAAATCTTCTCATCTTGGTGAAGCAAATTTTGGTGCATTTCGACTCAATTAAGAACTGAAAGTGCCTGTGACAATTATGTATAATGATAGCTTTCTAGAGTGCCAGATGAAATGCTTCTGCTTGATGAATTTTCTGTTGTATTAACTTTGATCAAGTGCAGTAGTGTATGAGAAAGATTGGAAGCGAGAGACAAAAAAGAACTATTAAATGGATTGCCTACTAGTTTATCTTTGAATTATGGTTTATGGAAAAAAGCGGATTTGCTGGGTTTTCTGGAATTAAAACGAGGGGTTTATGAGGAGTGTCAAGCAGAGGCTTTGGTAGAGGAAGGTGATGTAGAGTATGAAAGAGTCTCTAATGTGTTCACATCCTCTAGGATAATAGAAGTATCTTGTTCTTTGTGATTAAGGTGGATGTTTTCAAGCTGTTATGACTTTAAGGGTTTGTCTATGGTGTTGGGTTTTTTGTTTGGATGGGAGCTGGAGGTGAGAGTTGGAGCACCCTTGATTTGCTTTCTCTGTTTTTAGCCTGGTTTGAGAGGATTGCTTCTAGGTGGTGGGGGTGTCTTCTAGGTTGGTGGGACTGGTATGTTGAAATCATCTACTGGTAACATATCTTTCTCTGGTGTTCTGTTCTTGTTGGGATATTGATTCCCTGGACATCTAGCTCTTGAACCCCAATTGAACTGCTCTTCACATGCTGAGACAATGCTGAGACAAACACTTGGAGAAGTGTTTTTATGCCCAACCTGAGTTCATCAAGAATGGTTACTCCATCAAATTTCTATACTTTTCTCCCCCTATCCCCATCTCCACCTCAAAATCATCTTGTATCCTTTAGTAAGTTGTATCGATGACTCAACAGAACTATTATTTCCCTATAGTCTCCTAGGTTAAGAAGTTAATGGGGGGGAAATAGATGTTCTGCCTTGAGGTTTATATTTTTATTGCACATGTGGTTTATGACAATGAAACAGTGAAGACAATGAGACCTTTCTTTGACAAATTTCTGCATAGTAACTTGTGAGATATGGAATACTTGTGATTTGAGATGGTTTAATGGGAGTTACCGAATTTAGTTCCTGGAAAGGATTTTCCCCAAGAGTTAGTAGTTGAGGATTTAATAAGGAAAAGTGTAGTTTCCTTTCAATTTACCAAAATGGAGTAATTCCCTGTGTTGATATTTAGATGTAAAATGTGATGCCTTTTTGAACTCTCAGGGCTCAATGTTAATCAAGCTAGTGTGGGGACAGGGTATGTTTCCTAAGCTATCATTCCTTCTTTATGCTAGCATGCAAATAGCGTTTTGGTTCTGTGTGTGTATATGTCTGGCATTATTAATTCATGATTACATGCTCATAGCACTTTCTTCTTGTGTTCACAGCTTGAGTATGAAACTAGAATTAGAATATAATAATGCCTATTTTCCTGGTTCATGCGATAGCACTATATTGCTATCCTGTTAATGGACCTCGTTAAGTTTTTTGGTTATTCATTGAAAGCAACTGTTTATTTTGCATGGTGCCATTTCTGTTGACATTCTCTTTAAATTTTGTTAAAGCATTCACCTTAACACCCTAATTTAACAGTCAATCTTTTGGCAACTTTTTGATTTTATTTTAGCATAACATCCTCATTTGGAAGTCAACCTTTCTGCAAAATTAATCTTTGTTCTTTAATTTATTTCTGAGTAGTTCTTTCTGGAATCTTTGAAATATGATCTAAAATGTTGTAAAATGCAGGAAAACAATCGAAATGAACTTGAGAGGCTAGACAGAGAAAGACGTAATGACTTCTTGGGCATGCTGAAAGGGTTTGTAATTAATCAGGTATTTTTCCTTCACATTGTCCTTTTCTAATTTATCTGTTTAAGGAAGTTGGGATCTGACATAAGTCATGCTGACACGCTGTATTCAATGAGTTATCTTAACCACACGAATAAGAAGGTTTCATAGCATCTGGTTACAAAAACTTTGATCTAACAATGAAAGACAATATCTTTAAAAGTCCCAGGGATTTAAGCCACAGATCAAATGGATTTCTGCTTCTCATAGGAAAATAAGGCATTTATTGGTTTACTGTAGAGTCCTTTTGACCCAAGATCGATGGGCAGGCACATCATACAGGATATGTTAAACATGCATTCCCCCAGAAATGAACTTGCGTTAGGATTAGAATTAGGATGGTGGCAAAAGAGTTAAATAAACCTTTGCCTTAATGTTATGATCATTGTTGTTGTGGTTGTTGTTATATTATTATTTACTAAGGTTCCATGGCACAGAAAGCTAGAATAGGTGGTAGGTGCTGAATTTATGTGATCCTTTGTTTTTATATGAGTAATTGATCATCTTTATTCATTATCAATAACTTATCATCTTTATTCATTACCAACAACTAATCATCTTTATTGATGTAGGGAAAGAATGGCATATGTACAGTGTGATTACTGATGGAATACCTTAAAGCTAGACTGTCAGCCTAACATTATCAACTGTTTTCATTAGTGTTACAAAACCTGGATCCGAGGTTGAACTGTTTCCCTTTGGATCAATGGGTCAACCCGTGATATCATCAATATAAAAAATAAAAAACCCAGTAGTAACCTGCTGAATGGGTCAATGGTTCTGTTGTCTGGGTTGGTTAAATCAATAGGTTTTTGTAATATGCTACATTAGAGGTTGACCCGAAATTGTTCTCTTACTTCCCCTGTTTGCCCTTATCCTAGCCAGAGCATCAACTAGGCTATTGGTATAACTGTATACCCATGTATAAGTAGCAGTTATGTAGCATCCCTCATAAGATGTCTGTACTGCCATGGAACTTGGCTGATAATTTTCAGCCAACTCACAACAACTTTGGAGTTCCCTTTCAGTGCTACGTTTCTGAACCCAATTTGCCACCCAATACCAACCTCTTAGTGCCATCCGTCAAGAATGGTGCAAAGATCTCCATGTTTTAAGCCAATGAACAACTTAATCAAAATGTTCTCAATAAAGGTTTCCTTGGTTTCGGATCTTTCTCAGAATATTCTCTTGTTGCTTTCCTCCCAAATGTTACAAAGAACTGCTGACCTAACATCTATCGATACATTATCTTCCCTCCTTTGGTGGATGGGTTGAAGAATGACGTGATGAATGCATCAATTCTGTGGCCATCAGTCTCTCTTGGAACATGATGAGAGAATTCAGGGTTGAAGGGGAGGCTTTAGGTGCTACAGAAAATGGATACCTCTGGTGGAGGATTGCAGAGCACTTCAGATGCATTGGTGTAGGATTAGAACTGTGTCAACTAATATGAGTGGGTTAAATAAGAGAAGAATAGATGGCTGTCCTACTCCTGCAAGGTCTAAGGCTGAGCAAAAGACTAAACATGAGAAACATAGCATGGAAGGAGATTCTGGAATTGTGGGAGGTGGTTAAGGAAAAATAGTCAAGGTTCATGACATCACAAGCATACATTAAGAGGGAGGATAAGAAGCCTAATAAGAGAATCAGGAGCAACAGTTCAGTTGGTGCCAAGATCATCTAATACATGATTCAGTTGCAAGACAAGGGGTCAAAAGGGAACAGAATAATTGTTTTTTTTTTGGGGGGGGGTAATCGATGGTGAAACATGAAATGAAAAGAAGGGTTAGGTAGTGAAGACTAGCCTAACAAAAAGGCAAATCCGTACGTAGATAACATTCTTTTTCATAATCAATAAAGTTACACTATTAAAAATAAAAAAAAGACTGGATTTAAGTAAATCCAATGCATGATTGCATTTCGGTTGATCATGTTAGTTGGCTAACTATTTGAGAACTTAGAGATTGCATGTGATTTGTCTGTAAGTAGGCCTACCAGAGAGCTTAGCTGGGTCAAACACTCATTTTAATGGCACAATGTTCCATTGCGGTGTATACATTATCAGAACATTATGTATTGCATTGTAAATTTGTAATCTTTCATTCTTTTTTTTTTTTATGTGGGCTTCATCTGAAATGACAATTATAATCTGTGGTATAAGATTGACATTATAAGGGGTACAATGCATGCAATATAATTTTTGTTTGCAATTTTATCTTTCTTTATTTTTTATTGCCCTTGCTAGGTATGCCGTATGCATTGTTATTGCTATTCCTTTAATTTTTAATCTTTATCTTTTTTTATTTTTATGTGAAACCCATCTGAAATGGTACAAATACCAGATGCATAGTGCATGATGCATTATGAGGGAGTACAACACATTTTGTTTTATATCTTTTAATTTATTTTTTCATTTACCCATACCAAGCATGGGCTGTTAGCTAGCATTAGGATTAATTTGACATGTACTAACTAGCTGGGAGTGATGCTGCTTACTTTGTTGATTCATTTGCATACTACACATTATCATATGCTATCACTTTGCTATTTAGCTAGAAATACGTCATATTTAAACTGCTTCGTAGCTTTCACATGTGATGTTCTCTGCGTGGTGATAAAGTTGAATTGTAATCAGATCAGTTTATCTTCTTTCTTTCTTAATGGAGTTTTGTTATGGCTATCTTCTGTGTTTAAGTAGGGTTATGTTCATTTATTTACAGGTGGGATATGCAGAGAAAATAGCAAATGTGTGGGCAAATGTTGCAGAAGAAACAAGTGGGTACACGAAAGAGAGCAGTTAAAATCTGATTGTAAAATTTAGCCCCCCCTTTAAATATCTGCTGTCTTCCTCCTCCCTTCTATTGCATTTGTGTACATTACTAGGAAATAACGACACGTTCATTCTCCATTGTAATAAAGGAGAGTACTTGGTAGAATTATCTTGAAATTTGTCGAACTTTTCTTGGATCTGCTACCGACGTAGTTGCCTGGTGCAACTATGAAATGTTGCTTATGAACGCTCTCTAACGAGGACAGGGACCTGGTGGCGGATATGACAAAGATTTGTCGTCCTTTTTTAGTTTTTATTGGTTCTGCTACAAAAGTTATTGCCTTGTCTAACCATAAAATGCTGCTTCTCAATGCTACAAAAATTGCAGGTAGCTCTGGCTGGGTATAACCAAATGTCTTTCATTCACATGCAGCACCTAATGAGACTGATTATTTTTGTGTTGTGTTTGAACTCAAGAAATCAAACATCTGCCATTCAAGTTGATTTGGTAGTTGAGCACTTGAGCTTGATCAAGCTCAAGGACCTCCGTCACAAGTTCACAAACTCATAAACCCACATGGAATTCATGGCCACAAAAGGTCTGTGTGTCATTAGAGTAGACTATATCTGCCACAAAATGGAGCAGCATCGTTTTGAATTACGAATCAGATATTTAACTTTAAATTATTATTCTTATTTCTAAACCAAAGTCTGTACCAAGGCATCGGGATTTTTGGATGGAAGGAGGAGAATCCAATTTGATTGGGGAGGATAGCCTAACGCTAATAATGTTCAACATTCAAAGCATAATGTAGGGTTGATGGCGTGCAAACAAACCAAATATTCTTTAGTAGCTTTTTCTTGAAATAATTCGTTTGATTTCATCGCCTAAAATTGACGTTGCAAGATGAATTCAATTGTCAAATTTGTCATAATGCTAATATGTTGTTTGCTTTCAAATGTAAAAAGATCATTTCGTATAGTTGCTGAACGCCCAGTGGGTTTCAACTTTCGGCTTGTACTGATTATTTTTTGATAGGTGAACGTTGATTGATATGGGAAGAAAAAAAAAGCAATTTAGCATCGTGCAACACTGTTTGTGTCTTGAGTTGTGGCGAAGTGAAATGCTAAATTCACTTTCTCCTCCCTTCATCCTTTTCCTCAGAAGGCACACACGTAAGTCTGGCGGAATACTCAGTTGCATGCATACAAGGGGTCAAGCAACTGTTTACAGTGACATTTGACTTGGGTGATTTGGATCAGGGATGGCTAGGCAGAATATCTGTAACTGGTATCTGCCTTGGAACTGACTATGAAGATGAGCTATTTTCTAGTAGCTGCTGCTATTGATTGAAGATGAGCCAACCCAGGCTGAGTTTTTTTAGAAGTGGCAGTGTGTGGACCAGATCTTCTCAGCATGTAACTTAAAAAAAGCTCATCTTGCATTGCAAAACAGAGTAGGCCTATCCTCTTTATTATCAAATAACTAATAATATTAATGTAGTCTCAAAAAGCTATCAATGCTTGATTATTCCTACAAATAGCAATAGGAAAAAGAATCAATTACAATCAAACCTAGGCAAAATGATGACATCGTACTACTACTGTTTAGTAAACTAAAATAAGCTACTATTTACAGTCACTTAATAAAGCTCATATGGGCAAATAAAAAAAAAAATCAAGTAATAAAAGAATTTCGGTTTCCCTTTCTTTTTCACTCCAGAACCCACCCCCCATGGGCCCCATATGGCGAAGTGAAGACAGCAATTTTAGGTTATTCAGTTGTTGATGGAACTCCAGTAACATCCTCAGCGGAGCTGGCAGCAAGTTCGGGCTTGATCTCTTCCAGCTGCTGGAGAACTTGCTGAACTTCTGGCCTTGCTGCCGGTGAGGGATCCACACAATGTAGAGCCAACTTCAATGTGTTGAGCAACTCATCACCCGTGGTGGATGCGTCCCTCATTAGTTCCAGATCGAAAACTTCGTTGGTCCACTCTTCCTTAACGATCGAGGCCACCCATTGAGGCAAGTCCACACCATTCATCGCTTCACCTGGGGATTTCCCAGTAAGGAGCTCTAGTATGATGACACCGAGACTGTATACATCTGTTTTTGTGCTGGCTTTCTTGAGCTTTGAGAGCTCCGGTGCACGGTAGCCCAGTGCACCAGCAGTGGCTATCACATTGGAATTGGCAGCAGCGGTCATGAGCCGAGAGAGACCGAAATCCGCAATCTTGGCATTGGTTTGCTCGTCGAGCAGGATGTTGCCGGAGGTCAGGTTCCCATGTATTATGTTCTCATGGGTGTGAAGGTAGCACAAGCCTCGCGTTGTGCCCATCGCTATTTTCATCCTTGTCGGCCAATCGATGGGGGTATCAGGCCCTCGAGCTGCAACATACATCATAATATAACGATCAGTATCGACTGGATATGTAATCTCTTGTAGAGAGTCAAAGAGCTCCTTCCCCCCCTCCCCCTTTCAGTTGAGAAGGGAGGAGCCATCTACAGTTAGTTGAATCAACTTACCATGGAGGAAGGCGGCAAGACTCCCTTTAGGCATGAAATCAAAGACAAGAAGCTTTTCTCCTTTTGGTCCCAAATAGTATGCCCTCAGTGCCAAGAGATTGGGGTGACGAATCTTGCCCAGGGTGTTAACCTCGACCTCGAACTCCCTCTGAGTCTTGGCAATTTTCTCCCTCAGCCTCTTTACCGCTACTTGATTCCCATCTTCCAATGTCGCCTTATACACTGTCCCGTATGTACTCTTCCCCATTATCTCTGCAGTTGCACACAAGAGATCGTCTGCAGTGAAAGCCAATGGCCCATCAAAGTGGACTAGCTTCCCTCCTGCCTCACCGCCGGATTCAACTTCGGTTCCAGCAGCAGTCGCTCCCTTTTCGCCTCTTGTGGCGACAGCCCTTCTAGCTGCGCCATTCTTCTTCTCCCTTGAAGTAGCTCTTTTCCTGATCAAAAAGCAGAGCAGAATACAGCACAGCAAAAGTGAAACCACGAGGAGGCCCCCGGTGGCTATGAGAATTATGTCTTTGGTGGTCAGTTTGCGGCGGCTTGGTTTCGTAATCTCTGGTGATGGAGATGGCGAAGAGGAGGAAGGACAAGGAGTCGAAATGCTGTACCCGCATAGTTGAAGGTTCCCGATAAAAGAGCTGGGATTGAATTTTTCCGATAGGAGAGAGGGAACGGAACCAGAGAGGTTGTTATAAGACACGTTGAAGGAACTTAGGTTCGGTAGATTGGCGAGTGAAACTGGGATATTTCCACTAAACCCATTTTGGGATAAATCTAGTTGAGTCAGGCTGGAGATTTTGCCCAGAGCATCCGGGATATTTCCTTTGAATTGATTTCTCTTCAGGTCAAGGACAGAGAGATTTTTTAGTCTGTCCACGGCGTCCGGAATCTGGTCCTCAAGGCGATTTCCCTCGAGGTTCAAGAGAACAAGGGAGGAAAGGTTGAAAAGACTGGCGGGAAAGCTTCCACTGATGGCATTGTTAGATAAATCTAATGTTCGAAGCCTAGAAAGATTTCCAATTTCGTCGGGTATGGTTCCGTTGATCTGGTTATGACTCAGAGATATCTCTTCAAGCTTATCCAGTTTGCTCAGAGAGACGGGAATCCTTCCAGAAATGAAGTTGTGATCAAGGGTCAAGAACTGGAGCTGATAGCTCTCTGTTCCACCCCAGGTATCAGGAATAGAGCCAGAGAGGTTATTGTACTGAAGAGCAAAGAAGGTGAGAGAAGGGGAGCGGGTAAGACTTACAGGAATCGAACCAGAAAAGGCGTTGGAGCTGAGGTTAAGCCTGTAAAGCCTCGTAGAGTTCCCGAGACTAGTGGGGATTGTTCCAGTGAGCGAGTTGTTGCTAACGTCAAGAGTCTGGAGCAATGGACAGGAACCGATCGAAGGAGGAATTGAACCTGAAAGTCGGTTGTTGAAGAGATAAACACCTCTCAGATTGGGGAGGAACCCAAGAGAGGTAGGAATCATGCCCGTGATAAGGTTGTCGTGCAGGCTAAGCTTTCTGAGAGCTTGAAGTTGGGCGATCTTCTCTGTGATATGGCCGCCCAATCCCTTCCATGGGAGCTGGATCGCTATAACCTGGCCTTTAACGCACTTGATCCCTGCCCATCCTCCTGAACAAGCTCCGAAGCCACTGTCATTCCAGCTCCGTAAGATTCCCAGAGGATCCACCAATTCGCGTTTGAAGGCTTGAAGAGCTTGAAAATCAGCTTGAGTGACGATTATCCCATCCCACGGCTGGCTCGATACCGAATGGCAGGTGAAAAGCAGTAGTTGAAGGAGCAAGAACAAGTGGTTACAGAGGAAGAACCCGTTATGAAATGCAACATGCCGAAATGGTTTCTTGCCTAAGGAATGATTCTTCCATTTCTCCTTTTTATCTGAAATCCGGCAATGATCGGCTGTTCTTCTCATAAGTAGCCGCAGAACATGAAATGGGTCTACGTGAAAACTACCCAAGAGATGATTTCTGTTCTCCATGGCCACTAAAGAATAGCAGAAATGTAGAAACCAATGATTGGGGAAGAATTGGTTTTGCTCATCCACTCTGCCCCTCCAATTGGCTTGCTTTTATTTCTGCAATCTAGTTGAGATGATGGTGATAATAATGAAACAGGTGAGAAATGTGAGAGGTGGGTCTTGTGAGGAGAGAGGGGGGGAGGGGGTATGTGAAGATCTCAGTTTAGTGAAAATATCTTAGTTAGTGAGAAGAGATAGAGGGTGAGAGTGCGAGTGTGAGAGAGAGGGGAGTAAAGGAATCTTTCATTTTTATTATTATTATTTTGTTGGGGAGACAAAATCGGAGACAGTAGTCAGGTGGAGGGTTCAGAGGCCATACCATATTATTCTTGGTTGAGAGTAGAGACCAACGGCTAGTTTTCTCTTCCATGTCTTTAAAACAAATGAAGTAGGAAGTTAAACGGCTAGTTCAGGTCTTCGTTCCGGTGCGCTCCTGTAACGGCTATATCATAGTGGGTCCCATCAGCTCACCTGGAATCGTGGAATCACTAATTTGGCGGTGACACGTGACAATGGCGAAAATGCCCCCTGGCTCCTTCCTATCGGGTTTGATGACGAGGATGAGGTCAGTCGTAATTCTTACAGATGTTGAGTTGACAAGGGTAGGGGAAAAAACTGAACTGAACACGTGGATATTTTGACGTTTTGTCTTCTTCTGACGTGGGATAATGCCCTATTGCCCTTCCTTCCGAAATCCGAACCTGCTTCTTGCAATCTTGCCTTGTGTTGGTTTGGTTGGTTAGTGGCTGCATCAGTCTCATCAAGGCACTGCAACGACGGTGACGGTTCATCATTTTCTTCTAACTCATCAAGCATTAAGGAACCAGACCGGATGAAACGGATTACTACGCCGGACAATCGAACCTGGTCGTACCAAACGGTCTGGGTCGACCGGAGCACCAAAGTTGTGTGAGCCAGAAAGAGAACTAGTAACGTCATTTTGCCTTTGAGTCTTGAGACCTGCTGGCTGTGCCCTGTGGGCCTGTGGGCCTGTGGCTGCTGCATGCATGGGACGATGGGAGTGAGTGCCAACAAACCAGCCGAAGGCTAAAGGTGGGGGTGGGGATTGGCCAGTGAGTTGACGTGTCTCACCATCTCTCAAGTCTGAATTGAGATCCTGTAAGTACGTATATATATGGCCCACCACAACAATTTGATCATGACCATACAATAGGTTTTCGTGATTTCTTTCTCTCTGGATCTCACTCTTTCTTTTAATAAATAAGATTTAGCTTTTATGGGTGTACTGTACTGTACTGTACTGTGTTGACACTACTAGGAGTTTAATTACAGTACACAAAGTGCACATAAAGCTGGAATTAATTGAAGCTTTTAGTCTAAGCCTAGCTAGTTGAGGAGGAGGAGGAGGAAGAGCTTGTAGTACTTGTAAAACTTCAGTAATATATAGTTTTGAAGGAAGAAGATTTTAATTGGAGATGATCGATGGATGGGTGGAATGGCTAATGGCTCTCCCCCCTTTTTACCAACCATGGCTAATGGCCTTTTCAGCTTTCTGTGACTCAAGTCAAAATCCATGTAAATCAAAACATATGCAAATGCAAGCTAGGTAGGACAGCCATCCCTCTCTTCCTATAAGCATCGTCAAAGTAAACAGATCTCATCATTTATAAGAAATTAAAAGCTTTGTGCTTCTTTAATGGTGGAATAAATGGAGCTAAGAGAACTTCAGTTTCACGTATCATCATCCATCACTCAGCAGTATGGTGTTCAGTATAAAATCTAAAAAAGTACTAGATGATCGTTCCTGATCCTGATCCTGATGGTTGAATCGTCCATCCCGCCATGACCCAATGACGACCAAAACGGTTTTATAACTGGTCTGAATCTGAAATCTGACAGACGCATTAATTAAAATTTAAAACAGGATTGACATTGATTAAAACCGGTTTTATGATCGGTCCAAAAGAGATGTAAGTAAATGTCGGTAGTGGGAGTGAAAAACAAAAGAGAAGCTTTGGGCTTGAATCCGAGAGAGAGAGAGTAGACGCGTCCATTTCCATGGCATGAAATTACGGTAGGTCGGTCCGTAATCCGTATGGCAGCGGTGCAGTAAAAGCTGAAGTGGTGGATCCCCGCTCTCATATTCTCATATTCTTCTTCATCATGCAAATAGATAGAACTTAGAAGCTCCTGGAGAGTGGAGATACTTCCTTCTCTACGGTTCTTTGTCTACCGTTATTTACCGAGATGGAAATGATAGCACGAGACCCCACCATTTTGGTGTTAATGCTTTGTATTGTGTTGTGGCTCCAGAGTCCAGACACAACCCCAAAGCGCCCAACGGTCTTGTTCAAAGCCCTTCAACTTGAACAATTTTTTGTTGTACGTCGTCATCTCAACTTCAAACAATGGTAGCTCAACCCATGTCACTGTATGAACTAACGTGTGACGTGGAGAGAGAAAAACTGTAGCACTCAGAGCATTTGAGCATTTGGTTTGGTATGCACTAATATGTCCCTTAGAGAGAGGGAGAGCGAGAGCGAGAGCGAGCGAGCGAGCGAGCGAGAGAGAGAGAGAGAGAGCGCGCCTGTTGATACTTGATAGCCAAAGTTACTTAGAAAGAAAACACTCGGGATTTTCTATTCTCTTTTCCTACCCACTCCCCTACCCGTCGTGAATTTTGGATTTACACATCTCTAATAATAGCTGATCGTCTGTCCCCTAGCAACAGAAAATTTTCTGTCCCATCCAATAAAATACTGCCACGGCATCTATTTGTCTAAAACTCAAATTTAATAGAGTCCAGACTTAAACGGCAGTCCGGACTCCAAAAAAACATTAAATTTTATTAACCCGCTCAATTTTAATGAATTCCCTCCTCTTTTCTTCTTCCTCTTCACTGCCACTACAACCAACCATCGTCCCTCCGCTGTAATGAACTCCCTCTTTTCGCCCAAGGTGACTGTTGAGAAGAGATCCTAATTAAAACAAGCTGATGGAATCTTGGCGAAATGTTTCTTTGCTTTAATGAACTCCCTCTTCCTTTCTTCCTCTTCACTGTCATTACAACCAACCACCGGCCACCGCCCATCCGCTGTATCTCTTCTTCCTTCGGCCCTCCTTTCGCCCGAGGTGACTATTGAGAAGAGACCCTAATTAAATCAAGTTAATGGAATCCTGGCAAAATGTTTCTTTGCTTTAATGAACTCCCTCCTCCTTTCTTCTTCCTCTTCACCGTATGGTTAAGGAATTGGGTTTCTTGTATCTGTTTCTCTTTCTTTTTCTCTATAATCCTTTTATTACAAAAAAAAAAAACAAAAAAACACTCCTAAACTCTAACTGACATCCTTAATTTCTCTGGCAATATTCCACCCTTTAATCTGGACTTTAAGGCTTTGCAACAAGAGGTAATGCCAAGTGAATGGTGGTGCCATCCTTAGAGAGAGTGGCTTGTTTTTGGCACCCGCTGTATCGACACAGTTCATCGCACCATTTGGATGGTCTCGTCGTCTTTGGGCTCGCACCAGATGTAACATTGACAATACGGGAAAGGGTAAATGCATCACCGGAGACTGCAATGGACTGAAGTGTGCGGGCGGTGGTGCACCACCCATTACACTCGCCGAATTCACCAGTGTCAACGGCACTAACAATGATTTCTACGACATAAGCCTCGTGGACGGAAAATCCGAATGCAATACGAACAAGCGGTGTTAGGATCACCAGTATATGCTTGCAACTCATATGTCGCACAGTCAGAGAGAGACTCGTATAACTTTTTTCTTCCATCTAATTAATTTACAAGGAATTTTAGAAGAAATAAAACACCTTTATAGTGCGGAATTTTTCCAAACAAGAAGATATAGGGAAAAAGGAAAAAAAAACTTGGAAAAAACATAGATGAAACGGCTTCAAGCCAAAATAAGCGCCGCTAAAATGAAAAGAAAGAAAAGGGAAAACTTGGTAGCCTCCTCTTCTCTGATAATCAGGTTCATCGTTGTTCTCTTCGATCATCAGGTTTCATTGGTACTCTAATAGAAACTGTCTTAGAAGGCAAAATAGAGAGTTGTAGTGGAAAGAATCACCGATGGCTCTGAACATCAGCAGTGAGCGGTGAAAATATTCCGGAAACTTGCAGTGGAGGAATGAGCGGTGGTTGAAAAAGACTTCGGCTATTGCAGCGGACGAACAATGGTGGCTCGATTGCAATGGCGGTGTGCGATGATGTTAGTGCGGGCGAACTTTGTTGTGTGGGAGAGGGAAAAGAATGCTGAACGAATACGGAGAAGAGAAATTTTGGAATGTGGGATTCTAAAGGGCGCTTAAACCAAAATTGACAAGTCTTTGGAGTCCAGACTACCGTTAATATCCGGACTCCGTTAATTTTGAAATTTTTTAAGAAGAACGACGTGTTTGATTTCCATCGGAGGAGACAGAAAATTTTTTATCTCTATTATGAATTAAGAGATGTGTGACTGTAATCGATTAGCTCTACCCTTACTTCCATCAAAATTCGTACACATGTATGATATATTTTTTTTAAAAATCCAATTTTACCCTTACCAGCAGCAAAACGATAGCCCCCTCCACCTCCGGCCCTCTCTCTCTCCTTCTTCCCCTTTGTTCTCTCTCCCTGTTTCCCCTGTTTCATCACCCCACTGCAGCGGCAGACCCCTCTCTCCCCTGTTTCTCCCTATTTCCCCGTGAAGCACAGGCACACATGGGAATGCCAAGTAATCACCATATTAAATGTTATTATTTACAACATCTCTCTCTCTCTGCATAACCTCAATCTAAAAATAGAATGGTTTCTAACTGTCCTATGAAACTTTTCAACTTATGACCTTTTCATAAATGGCTAAATGATGCCCTTGAATCTACGATTTAAGGCACACTCGAATGCAAGGTATGGGGTCGAAGTGAATTTACAGGACGAACAGCTCCAATTCAGAAGTTCCTGGCTTCTTGCATCCAAAAGATGGTTTCGACTCGAATGCAAGGGCTAGACAACGGGAGGTAATCCATCCCCCAATCCAGATACAGACGGGATTTGACCGTCAAGTCCCTTCTACAATCAGCGGGAGACCTTACCAATCAGTTGGTTGGATTTGATTCTCATAGAATGCGCCTCACACCAATTTTATATAGCATCTTAAGTGTGCATTGAGAGATCTATCGCATGCATAAGATGTTATTATTAATGTGAAGATGCTCCCAATGCATTCTAAGGAGCAGATGTGTAAATCAGGCCATGCTGCCAGTAGCACAGCACGACGGACTGCGAGCCGTGCTGGGCCTTGGGTTTCATGATCATGGGCTGACAAAGCACGGCCCATATAAAACAATTGTATACATCAAAATTCTAAGATCTTTTTAATTATTGCATATATACACAATTGTATATATCAAAATTCACATAGAATAAAATTTTAAGATATTTTTTATTTTTTTTTTGTTTTAATTTATGTTAAAATTTCAAAAAGAAAAAAAAGACTTGGCTTGACCCACGACTTAGCCTATGGACCAACCTAGTCTGCAGCATGGGCCCATGCGGGCTTGAGCTATACCGGGCCGACCCTCCAAAGTATCCCAGGGGAGGGAAGCGCGGTTCAATTTGGCCCGCAAACTAACACGACATGGCCCACACTATGCACATGCAGCATGCGGGTCGTTCCGTGTTGACCCATCATGTCCCAATTTACACCTGTAGACTGAGGAGCATATCTAAACTCGGTTTAGGCTCTAATTAGCCACATGACCACATTAGTACAATAGGTTAATAAGGCAGGTCCAATCTTTTAAGGTTGCAAACTGTTTTGTTGTTCCTTGAATTTATTGTTGCAATCAGTGTTTTTGAACCATTGTTGATATGGATGGTTGAATCGTTCGGCCCAGGAATCGTCTAAGCAACTGGTTCTGTTTTACTCCCAACCCGATCCTTGGCCAAAAACTATTGAATTGGTCAACAATCCATTGATCGGGTGGTCGAACTGTTGATCCGTTCAATAGTTTTTGACCGCTTTTTTATTGTAATTATTTTTAATTTTTAAATTTTTAGTTGGAAGAGTCCTTCATTCGAACGGGACAATTGAACTATAGACCTGAAAACCGGTGACCAGAATAGTTCTAGTTCCGAATCGGTTTTTAAAACCTCGGTTGCAATCTTCTTCAAATTTTGACCCATTTTTTTAAGCCTTGGAAAAAAAATAGGGCAAATTTCTTAAACTACCTCTAAGGTTTAAGAAATTGACTAACCATACCCTTACTGTTTTAGTATTGTCCTAAAGTATCCCTATTGTTTCTAACAATTGACTAAATCTTCCTTATCATCAGTATTCTTTAATAGAAGGATTAAAAAGACTATTTTGCCCATCATTCTTCTTTAAATTTTCAAAATGAAACTTTTGACATCTTTCTCATATTGCCAGGCTTGTCTTCCTCCGTCATGTCTTAAAGTACTCATCTGGTTCTTTTTTGTCTCCTCGATCTATCTTTGCCACCTAGACCCAGATCTACGTTCCTTGATCTGAGATGAGGTGGGCAGCATTTCGGACCTCTCTCTCTCTCTCCGTCCCTTCGTTTTCTCTCTTTGGGTTGCAATATCCAATTATCCATACTTCGCATCTCATTATCTGTCTTGCTTCCCTCACTATGTGTAGAGGTGCCAACTGGACTGGATTTGTTCCAACCCGATCCAGTCCAATATGAGTCCATTTACAAATGGACTAGACCCAATCCAGTCCAAATCCAATCTATTAATTCAGCCGAGAAGCTTAAGTAAAGTTATTTTATAAGTTTTTATTCTCTAACATGCCATCTCATACAAAAATTTATTAGGCTCGAAGGATGGATGAGCACAGGCCCATGATAATGAGATAGACAAAGATCAAACATTAGATCATTTAATTAATTAAAATAATAAAATACTCTGACACTAGATTCATAGAGTAGAGTTCACATCAGCGCCCCTTGTGAGGCGTTCGCATATCCCGACCTTATATTAGAAACATCATCCATCATCTTGTCAGAAGATATTCTCAATATAAGGTCAGGATGTGTTTTTGTTTTGGGGCATTGTATGGCGCCCAGCTGATGTGAGCTCCCCGAAGCCTTAGATCTGCGTCTTACACCGAGCTCAAAGCACGTTTAGCCGTGCATCTGGAAGATCTCCTTACTTGAAAAACCCATTACCTTTATTTTGGAACCTGCAAAAGTGAAAATAATAATAATTCATATAGCTCCTAGTAGTCCTAGATGATTCAATGGAAGTTTTTCTTGGTCAAAATACGTCTGCTCCTCCCGAGTCCCGAGACGTAAATTATGTATATCATATATGAACTTGAAGATTACTGGATTAAACAATAATTATTGGGATTTCGCAATATTTGTATGAACTTTTACCGAAACTGAAAGCACTCTTTTAGCTTGCAACTTGGAGTGGGTTTTTAAGAGACTATAGATATGGACGATACGATCTTCTTTGGAATTGTATTGGTACGTGACCACTTACCGGAGGTGAAAAATGAAAACCCCACAAAGAGAAGAAAAATAAATATATACGTTTAATTGATTATATCTGAATCTTAATCAAATTAAATTGTGAATACCCATTTAATTATGTATTGCTTTGAGCTTTGAAGTATGCTATTATTACATTCGGTGGAATAGCCTGTATGGCCCACCTCCCAGACTTATCCTCATCTGCACTCTGCAGAGTGCAGACCGCCAGACCCTGAGACCTGGCTTATTATTTGAAACATTTTGTTGACCGGGTCATCGCATTCGCATCAATGGAAAGGGCAAAATGACACCCGTTCAATCTATATATAAGTCCTGTCTTTCTCCCATTCATTATCAAGACACTCCATGAACTACCTCTCTGAACCATCTCTGACTCTGCAATACCTAGATTCTATTCTTGGGACCCATGTGTTGCATCTTTCTTTCCTCCAACGTTTGTATTATTGAATGAATCAATCAAGGGAGAGTACCAGTTAGTGATTTCATAATTTTTTCTTTTAATTCATCATTTTTGTTCATGAATTTATTCTATACTTATTAGATTTTTTTTTAATTATTATTATTTCAATATTTTTGTATTGTGCATGCGTATTCAATATAGTGGACCCAGAAATCATAAACTCAATACCACATTTAAATCCAACTTGATTAAACCCTGGTTTTCAAAATTAAAGCTTGCAACATAGATTCCATGGCGTGGACCTAATATTTACTTCACATAAACTTTGCTAAAAGGAGTGTAAAAAATTAGCGGTACCTGAGTGCCCGTTTGGGAGGGCTTTAATGCAGCACTTTCTGGCTTTGCAGAGCGAGTACTACAAGCCTAAAAATACTATGGGTTTGTTTGATTTCCTAGAATAGGTGTTTGGAAAGGTCTATTTTGATTTCAACCGTTTGCTTGGTTAGAATGAGATTCCAATTTTCATTTTTAATAGAATGGGATTCCTTCATATGGGAAATGACCATTCCAAGTCATTTTGTAATAGGATTCTCATTCCAGAGTTTCAAAGTTTAGGCGTGAGAATGTATGGGTCAATTTGGTTTGGTTATAAGGCAAAACCTAGAACATACTCACTCTATCAAGATCGGTTCTAATGTCCATCCATGAAATCTGTTTTTTCTTTGAACCACCCAACAACAACAATAACAAAAATCCAAACTTATCATTATAATTTAAATTTTATACATTAATTATTATACATAAATATTAAATTAAAAAAAAATAATCAAATCACTACTCAATAGTCAAGTGAGACCATTACCTTTACAACCAAGAGTGATTGATTGGATTCAAAATTTTACATCTTCAAAGTATTTTGAGATTTTTTTTAAGGCAAATTTAGTTCCAAAGCTATTTTTTTTGAAGTCCAATTGGATATTATTAATTATTAAAATAATAAGAAAATAAGAAAATACAATATTAATAAACTAATACAAAACTAAAAAATTGACGAATTCCAATTCCACCTCCAAGTGAACCAAATAGTAGCTAGCTATTGAAATCCGACTCCAATTCCACCACGAATCCAATATGATTCCAATTCTGATTTCAATTTGGATCCTGACCATAAATTAAACGGACCCTATGTTTGGTGAAAAAGCTTTTGGTACATGAATGGGAGGGCTTTGGGTCAATGCAGCTCCCAAACATGCTCTTATTAGCTCTTCAAAGTGGCTCATTGAAGTCAAATAAGCCCAACAGCCATAGTTTTTCCGTGGCTTTCTAGTTTGAGGCCCAGCTCAGAACGAAGAACGACAGAAGCTGCGTCTCAAAATCCCTCCCTCTCAGACTGGAATGGACACTAGATGGAAGATTCACAAAATCTCATAAGCCCAACCATGCAAAAGGTGTCCATCAACATGATCTTTATTTATTTGTATAATAAATCAATGGTAAACAGAATTACAGAACGTTGAGGAGTGTAAAGACCCAGTCGGAAATTACATAGATTTTGATACCTACTTAAACATGTCTACATTTGTTGGTTACAGATCTGATCTACAGTATAGTATAGAACAGAAAAAAATAAGATACAAAAATAAAAGAAACAAAAAGCCTTAATAAGTGATTATAGATGAAAGAAAGAAAAAAAAAAGGCGCAAACAATCATTTGTTTTGTAACCTAATAAAGGAGTATGATAAATGATATGAGAGGAAATTTGAACAATGAACAACTCGGAGTCGGTTGCCCTCACATCACCAACCTTGAAAAGTTGAATCGGATTGTAATGGATGGTTAGATGCGTACAGAAACAGAAGGTGCGGGGCGTGCGGCGGTAGCTGCGGCAGAAGAGGCTGCACCTCCGATGAACGAGAGGAATCCAGTTGCGGGAGTTTCTTGTTCATCGAGAAATAAATCATCTGGAACCTTAAAGGAGCCATGAACGCAGACAATCGCTAAGCCGAGCATGAGAGCGGAGATGAGGAGCGATCCGACGCTGGTTAGGAAGACGACGATGACAGTCAACACAACCAGACCGCCAAGGGTCTCCCGATCATTGAAAGTGCGGCCAAAGAGGACAAGAGGGGGATCTGAGGGACGGAAGAGGTAGAGGAAGAGCCAAGCAGCGAGGAGGCAGAGAAGGACGATGAGAGAGAAGGGGTGAGAGAGGAGAGAGAGGGCGAGGACGCCAGCGAGGAGGATGACGTAGTTGATCCGGAAGTAGGAGGAGTTCTTGCGGAGACGTGATGTGGCTTCGGCGAGGGAATTGGGACGGGAGAAGGTGGAGCGATCGATGAGCTCCGACCATGGACGGCGTTGGGAGAAACCTTGGCGGACCGAATCGGTGATGTGGGTGATGAAGGCATGGAAGGCAGGTGTGGCGATAGGCGGCTGAGATTGGGTGGCGGTAGGAACAGGTTGCGGTTTGGAGATGGGGAGAGTGGCGTGTGGAGGAGCAGACGACATGCTTGGAGAATATCTGGGTTGTAATCTATCTCTGTATATAGGTTAAAAGTGTGGAGGAGGGCGGAGGCGGCGCCGGTTCCAGAGGAGTTGAGGATTTGGATCAGCTGGAGTTGGAGGCAGGAGATATTTAGCGGAGAGAAACCGAAATGAAGGTGGGGTGGGGAGGGCGACGACTGAGAGAACGAGCGAAGAAAGCGGGAAAAGAAGCGTTTGTTTTTCTACTTTTTTTAATTAGCAAGGGTGTTAAGTTTTGATAGAATGTACTGCGAGATACCAAGATGTGTTGAATTTGGAAGCCACAACGGATTAGTTTCTGAAATCAAGCGGTAGCCACTAGCCGGTAACTTGTTTCTTATCAAACAAGAGAGATGTAATGTGTAAGATAGACGCGGTAATGTGACTTTGACAGTTGGTACGCTGACAGAAGGGAAGCCCACGTGTTGGGACTTGGGAACGACGTTTTAAGTTTAACTTGGAAGAGGTCTTGGATGCAAGACGGTGACGTAGGTAGTTTGGACTTTGGGTGATTGATTGAATCTACATGTTCAATTTGGGCAGTTCCAACTTAGAATTCGAGCCCCGACCAAGCCCATGTAAAATTACGCGGATTGGGCTTCAATTTTCGATCATCGGGCCCATTAGTACAAAATTTCGGAACCCTCAGGCAAGTAAGTACAGCCAAAACCTAGCCTGGACTTGTCTGAATCTAAGCGTATTCCAGTCATATACATGCATCCATATATAAATACATAGTTATTTGCATGTATAAATGTTATATATATATATATATATATTAGTGTGGATTGATTGATTAATTCATGCCCGGTCCAGACTCGAGCCAATCCGAGTGTATAAAATTTTTGTATGGACTATATTTGAGTTAGAGAATTGGGCTCGCTATAGGTTCCGGCTTTCAGTCCAATTCTTAAGTTTAGACTTGGGTTGAGCTTAAACTTGGCCCAATCCATCAGATTTGCATCCTTAATTGAAATTGAACAATTGAACAGGATGAGAAGCTTCATTAAAAATTAAATAATTACTGATATCGGCATTTTATTTTTTATCGTCTATAGTCAATTAATGATCATTTGTAGTGATTTCTCATAATAATAATAATAATGATAAAAAGCAAATGGAATTTGTCTTTAAAGAGAGGCAGAGAGAAGTCTTTTTCCTTATTTATACTTTTATACAAAACGAGGCCTGTAAAGCATACTTTTTCATATAAATAATGATAGGAAGCGGAATAGCTGGAAACAAATCATATACACCAGGCTGGACTACCTATCACGAGTGAACACGCCAGCGCTCTTGTGAATCCCATCTGTACTGAATACTGGCGTATTCAACTGTGATAGGTAGCTCGGTGTATACAATTTTGTCTCCAGCTCATCTGGACTCGTAATGATGGTTTGTGAGGCCAACCCCCGACCCTGACCTCCAGATCAACCCCCGTCCCCGATCCTCGTCGGAGAAAGAAATTCCCCTCTGTCTTTGACCCCGATGGGAAAGAGACCCGAATCCCTGATTTGAGAGAGATTCTGGATTTGCGACTTGTGAGTAGATTCAGATCTGTAATCTGTTTGAGATTTCAAAAATCAGAAATCAAAAGCATTGAGAGAGAGGGAGGACCATTACGGGCTTTGAGTTGCGGCATTGCCTCACCTGAGAGAGAGAAGGAAGAACAGGTCAACGAAAGAAGAAGAGTAGGGCACTACCATACTAGGGTTTTGAGTTTCAGATCATCCCCCGTCCCCGATCCTCGTCGGAGAAAGAAATTCCCCTCTGTCTCTGACCCCGACGGGAAAGAAACCCGAATCCCTGACTTGAGAGAGATTCCGGATTTGCGACTTGTGAGTAGATTCAGATCTGTAATATGTTTGAGATTTCAAAAATCAGAAATCAAAAGCATTGAGAGAGAGAGGGAGGACCATTACAGGCTTTGAGTTGTGGCATTGCCTCACTTGAGAGAGAGAGAGAGAGAGAAGGAAGAACATGCCAACGAAAGAAGAAGAGTAGGGCACTACCATACTAGGGTTTTGAGTTTCAGATCATCCCCCGTCCCCGATCCTCGTCGGAGAAAGAAATTCCCCTTCGTCCCTGACCCTGACGGGAAAGAGACCCGAATCCCCGACTTGAGAGAGATTCCGGATTTGCGACTTGTGAGTAGATTCAGATCTGTAATATGTTTGAGATTTCAAAAATCATAAATCAAAAGCATTGAGAGAGAGGGAGGACCATTACGGGCTTTGAGTTGCGGCATTACCTCACCTGAGTGAGAGAGAGAGAGAAGGAAGAACAAGTCAACGAAAGAAGAAGAATAGGGCACTACCATACTAGGGTTTTGAGTTTCAGGCTTTCAGCCGCCGCATCTGTTCTTTCTTCTTTGTCTGTCAAATGGTAGTAGAAGAGTCTCTCAATGGAAGAAGAAGAGCTGAAGAGTAGGGCAGTACCATACTAGAGTTTTGAGTTTCAAGCTTTCAACCGTTGCATTTGTTCTTTCTTCTTCGCTTGTTGAGTGGTAGTAGAAGAGTCTCTCGAGAGTTTTAAGTTTTTGTCTTTTTAGTCTTTTACTTTTTTACTCTTTTTTGATTTTTTGTAATTTGTGTAATGTTTAATTAATTATTAGTTGAAATTGTTATTTGTTAATCAAATAATATATAATATAATAATATATTATATATATTATATTAATTAGTAGGGTTGATCACGGGTCGGGTTGGGTCGGTTTATTGAGGTTTTTCCAATCGACCCGACCTGGTCGGATTACCTGAGATGGAAACCGAAACTGACCCAATGTTAAGCAAAATCGACCTGGTCAGTTTGAGTTAGGTTGGGTCGGTTTGGGTAAACCGTCCCGAACCATCGATTTATGAATTTGTACAACCCAAAACTGACCGGTGCTGATGAAAACCCGATCGACTTGGGTTGGGCCTTCTTATGAACAACCCTATTAATCAGGGCTTGGGTGGGGCGGGGATTGCATCCCCACTCCCGTCCTTGTCCCCGATCGGGGATTCAATGTTAGCCCCATCCCTGACCTCGACCTCGCCAAAACACTCTCCATATCCAGCCCTGCCGGGTCAGGGAGCCCAGGTACCGGTCGAGGATGAGGAAAATTGCCATCCGCCCAAAGCAAGTATCGCCATTATATAGTAAATATATTTTTAGAATTAATTATTATGTGAAGCAAAAGAGTATAAAAAAGGCATGAAGAAATAATTTTTTTAGTTTTTATTATTAAAATATTGAGAATAGAAAACGGATTCAAGAAAAATGAAGGTTCGTATTATTTTTATTATTTTTGTTTTTTCTAAAAGCAGTTTTTCTTGGTAATTGATTTGAGACATAGTGGTTGTAACTTGTAACTTTTGAAAAAAGGAAATTTAGTACAAAGGTTTTACTACAATATCCTTAAATGGCATAGAGAGAATTAAAACTGTAATTTTTTTTTAATAATTTTCCCAAAGAAAATCCTAGATTCCCACAAAGTTACTTCTCAGTTAGCAACATTCAAATTTGTAATACAAATCGGGCTCCCATGCCCAACTAGAATCGTTGAACCCCAACCCTAACCCTTACCCCTGATTCAGCTGGGGTTGGCCAAATTTCGTTTAGTCCAAACCTGATGCAGGATATATTCTTTTTGAGTCAAATATTCAATTTGCACCTTTATTATTCTTTTTGAGTCAAAGAATTAATCAGTAAGGTGAACGAGTTTCAACATAATTACATATATAAAACACAACTATGATTTTGGAAAACTCGTAACCAATCTACTGGTATCATGAAACTGGTAAGCAATTAGATGGTATTGATCAGTGGTTCATATATAGATTTTACTTTTTTTTTGTTTTGTTTTGGTAATTAGATTCACCCGTTTATATAATATTCACATATAGAAATATGTGCACATGTTATTGTCCAAAGGCCTTAATCCTAAACCCAACTTAAAGTTGAATTTGGTTCATAATTTTAGCCGTATCTATGGCTGTGTTTGGTTTAAAGGAAAATATAGAAAAATTTAACAATCTTGTACCCAAACATAGCCTATGAAATTGTGAGTTACGAACTTGTACCCAATATCCATCACTACAATGTACGACCCCCAAATATTAGGACACTTGTATATCTATCTATATAATTGGGTTCAGTTCTCACAAGACCATGTTCACACTATTCACATAGTCTCATTATAGCCTTGCACTGGGAATATCTCCCATGAAGAAAAGCATACAAGTACGGAGATGTTCCTAATGCCCGGCTGTAAAAAGCTGTGAGAACAGTATGAGCATGGTCTTGTGAGAATTGAAACTAATGTTATATCTATACTACATAAAGTAAATAATTGTCTTGATTTTGGGGTTTATCAAACTTAAATTTGATTACAATGTTAGAAAATGCCCTTGCACTAGTACTATATGAAGCATCATTACACTAATATCATATTAATCAACACTAATTTTGGTTTTCATGTAGGTCATAAAAATTAAATCCAAATACTATATACCCAAATATTTGCATGCATACCTATCAAGAGGAGATGTTCCTAATATGCGAGTGGGAGTAGACCTGTTCATGGGCCGGCCCGGCCCTCGGATGGGCTTGAACCTCGGGCCAAAAAGCCCGGCCCGCAATAAATTCGAGCTGGGTCGGGATTTGCCAAAATAGCCCGGCCCGGCCCGACCTATAATTAAACCTAAAAACCCTAGTTGAATACCCCTCTTTTTTTCACCTCTTTCCCTTATTTTTCCAATCGAACCCTTCTTCTCCACATCCTTTTTCCCTTCTTTATATTCTTTTTTTAATGTAAATAAATTTTGAATTTATATTCTTTTTTTAATGTAAATAAATTCTAATTTATATTGATTATTGAATAGGGAAAATTCTATTTTTTTATTAGCTCGGGCTCGGGCTTCGGGCTTTTTATCAGGGTCGGGCTCGAGCTCGGGCCTAACATATTTCCATTAATAAAGAGTAAAAGCCCGGCCCAGCCCGGCCTGGCCCATGAACAGGTCTAGGTGGGAGGCGCTGTGGGGCGCCAATCTGTTCTCGGTTATATAGATGCCACTCAACAAAGCTTACCCAAGGTCAAGCTCTTTTCGTCAATATAATTGGTTGTCCCATGCAAGCTTTTAAGCATGGAATCCGATTCTTTGAGTGTTATTCAGGGCCAATCATTGGAGTTTTTCGTCTCCTCTCCCACTTTCCCATTGACATGGGATTAGGGTTAAGGGTGTCAATGGACTGATTTTGGATTAGACCCCATCCAGTCCAAAATCAATTTGGATGGATTGGACTGACCAACAAGACATTTTAGATTGGATTAATCCAGTGCAAAATATTTATTAGATTGGATTGGACCTGGTATGTTCGTAACAAATTTATATTGGATTGGGTTGGATTAAGCCAATATCTGGTCCATTGAAACCAATCTAAATAAATTGAACGGTCTTAAGTTGAAACCAATCTAAACACACACACACACAGATATATATATATATATATAGAGAGAGAGAGAGAGAGAGAGAGAGAGAGAGACCGGGCTTAAGTTGAAATCAATCTAAATCAAAATGAATTTAAATAAATTGAACGGTCCAAACATTGAATTGGACCAGTCCAAATTGGTCCAAAACATTTATTGCATTGGATTAAACCTTGTCCATTTATAATGAATTTACATCAGACTGGGATCGGATTGGACCAAATCGAATCCAATTGACACCACGATCCCCATGATAGGTAGGTTATATTCAACATTTTCCAAATTACCTTATTTAAATTGCAGTCATAACATTGAACCATCCGATTCTATTGGAGATAAAGAGGAAAAACGGAAAGAAATGCTTGAAGCTCGAATCCAATTGAATATTTAAAACGTGAATCGTTGTGCCCCAGTTAACAGTTAAGAGCTACTATGTGCTGAAAACTTCAAAGAGGTTTGACGTTTTACACTGTCAAACTCAAGGTGATGGTAGCAAGGATGGGTGGAGTATGCTTCAACTTTAAGAGATCCTTGCTAAGTAAGGTCTGTTTGGTGTCTTGGTCTTTTTCTGTTTGGTTAGAAAAAGATTTAGTCACCAAAAAATGATGTCCTGAAAAGACGTACAAAACCCGCATGGTGCAGAAAAACACACCTTAAACAAATAGTCTTCAGACTACTAAAATCTTAATATATCATGTTTTATCTGTCAGATACACCGGAAAATCTTTAAAAAAAATGCCAAACGACACCCAATTAAATGGATTTAGACTACTTCGAGGTTAAGGCTTAGTTAAGCATATATACCTAAGTTAGGCGCGGGTTCTTCTACAGAAATATTAATAAAAATGGTCAACACTCAGACTTCGATGAAAATCCTCCCAAACGTGTGATGTTTGGTTTCCAGCGTTTTCAGCCTAATCATGGAAAAAACAGGGGGAGGGAGGGCTCATCAAGTTCGACTGGATGATGGGTCAAATTCTCCATCATTTTCATGTTCTCTTTCTGGGTGCGTGGAGAATCGTCCCTTCTCATCCCTTTCTTGGTTCAGCCTTATCTTACCTAAAGAGAACCATATAATTACTGACAAGTATTAATTCAGCTAATTGTTAATATAATCGATCCATGTTCCATAACAAAAATCAAATTAGCAGTAGCGGTCAGATAATAATCGTATGGAAAGGTTTCATTTGTTCTTTCTCACCTCTGCGTTTAGAATTAGAAATATATCAACCTTAACACAATAGGGACCGGATAGGCCGGAGACAAAACCATACACAGCAGAGAGAGAGAGAAGAACCTATCACGAGTGAATGCGCAAATGTTCTATATACAACGAGTCTTACATGAGATCCATACTCGTGATAGGTTGTGTATAGTTTTGTTTCCAACCAATCCACTTATCCAGACTCAGGACAAAGATGCAAACAAAAAAAAAAAAAGTCATTCACAGTAATACAAAATACCATACCTGCAGCTGCAGCATTTTACAACAGTACACGTGACAATTTACAAATCACAACGGGTACTGTTGTAAAAGGGAGTCTGGCTTTGCATTTTGAGTAAGGCTCAGTTTGGAAGGAGTACAACAAATACATCTTCTTCCAAACTGAGTTTAAGGGGCAAACGGATTGGTTGAAAAAAAGAGGGAGTGTGGGGCCCTTCGCCCTTGTAACTAGCCACTTGTCTTATTCCCAGAGTTTTCATTGGTACGTGGACTAGTGTTGTCAGCACAAAACATAGAAGCTCCCCCAGTACAAGAGAATTTCATTACTTTTTGGCATGGGATAGTTTCTTTTAGATCCTCCCCACCTAATGGCTAATGAGACTACTCATTCAGACGTTACTTGCAGGGAACTAACCAATAGATTATATATGTGCATGCTTATCTTTTTGACTTGTTTTTCCTCTCAAGAATCTTCACTGTACTACTTCTTCATTCACTTTTTCAGGTCCTTAAATATTAACCCTACAGCTTACGATAACAGGTGCTTAAACACCACACCAGAGTTACGCCATGGCTTTTTGCTGCATTCCTGATGTATGGTCCTGGATTCATAACCTCCCACCCATCACCCAATGGAGATCAAACTCCACCTCCATTTGCATCTGTTCCTCATCAAGATCAACCCAACCATCCCTCCATCTCTCCATAACCAGAAACCTTCATGGTTCATTTGTTTCCTTCTCTATTGTTGCGGATTTCAAGCTTCCCGTCTCTCTCTGGACCTCAAAATCATTTAAACTAAGCACCAAGACACTAGAGTCATTAGACGAGGAGATCGTTTTCAATCTGTTCTTCAATATCATTAATGCCTTCCTCAGCTATGGCCCCAACAAGAGCAACTCCTTTGTCAACATCCCTACATTAGGAACCGTTGGCAATTTCAAGGACATCTTCAATCTTGCTTTCCTCTCTCTCACCTTCCTTATATGCATCTATGAAGCCCCCGGAGATCTCAGATCAGGATGCCTCAACTCCCTAAGGAATAACTTGAGCAGCTCACAGTCGAACGAAGCATCCAAGCTACTCATGAGGCTCCTAGGCCCCAACTTAGAAGAGCAATGGATGCGATCACTAAACCTTGCCATAACTAATTGGATCATAGAGCTGAAGGAGCCCCGTCACACACTCAGGACACCGTCGCCCTTGTTTTCCTACGCAATCTCAACAGTCGGGCTATGGAAAGTCCAATTATATTGTCCCGTTGTTGCCATGATGAAAGTAGAAAATTCAAGCAGCAATTCGGATGAACGGTTGCAATTCTCGCTCAAGTATCACCAGCTAGAGGGTGTGATCCAGTTTGGTTACAAGGTCATAGCTCGAGAAAAGTGGGTTGACGTGATGGTGAGCGTCGATAACATAAGGTTAGTTAGTACCTATGGAGTTGTGTGCATGAGATGAGCTGAAGAGAAGTCTGATCAAATCATATGGAGTCCGGGTGCGGGTGGGTGTTTGATTTTTCTAATGTTGTTTTTGGCTTTTAATTTTAACAGATGCGATGTGATCCAGCTGGTGCCTGAGACCCTAATGGCGGAGAGAGGAGCTGGAGCAGCTGAAAAATATTTTCCTTCGCGGGTATCCTTGCAACTCACCCCAACTTTCCAACCCCATGTATTATCCGTAACGGTGAGCAAATCATCAGATAACCCAACACGAGAGATTGGCCTAGAGAAGACAATTGAAGCTGGATTTGATCCCCCGAACTCTTACCTGGGACTAAAAGTTTCGGCCGCAGAGACTGTGACATTGAGCTTGAAGCCATGGAAATTTGAGCAATCTGTGCATGGAAGCAGTGCAAATTTGAATTGGTTCCTCCATGGCAGCATAGACGGACGAGAAGTTTCGTCTAAAAAGCCTTCACTGTTGGAATTGGTGCAGCCCAGGGCTTGGTTCAAGGACCGGTATTCCAACGCCAATCGGCCTTTTACCAGGCAAGGAGGAGTGGTTTTTGCAGGGGATGAGTATGGAGAGAGCGTGAGGTGGAAGTTGGATAGAAGGGCCATAGGGAAGACCTTGGAATGGGAGATTAAAGGGTCTATATGGTTAACTTATTGGCCAAATAAATACAGGACATTTTATAGTGAAACTAGGAAATTGGAGTTTAGAGAGATCCTCCACCATCTTCCTATCTAATCTAAAGCCATAAATAATCCTGCCCAGCCCTGACACTATATTATTGTAGTATATATACAAATATTGGTAGAAATAATGTTGCCTGTAACGTAGCTTTTCTGAAATTTCTTCTCCACTCGGCTCCTTCTGTCATTTTAATGTTTGGGCGATTGCATAGCCCTAGCCCCTAGCCCAACACCACTAGCGGTTGGGGTAACACATGAACATGAAAAAGATCAAAACCCCATCACGATCTCATACAATCATGGAAAATGACACCAAAAATTACAATTACATCCAAGTGCTAATAGACTTGCTCTTTAGTTTAGAATTGGCCCCCGGTTCTAGTCATCAAAATAAAAAAGAAAAATTGGCCCGTTTCGAGCACAGATTCTTCCGTGCGACAAACAATTGACAAAACACCTTCAAATGAGCCCTGTATATGCATCTAATAACATGACTCACTGAGCCCAACAACAAGGTAAACTCTTTCTCACCTGAGTTTAAGTTTAACCAAGTAAAACATAAAAAATTGGTGCAAATATGTGCAAGGGAATGGGAATCACTCATATGTGAGTGTGATTAGTTGAGAGGACTAGTTAGGTAATTTTATCTGAAGCAAAATAACCAGCTTGTGGATTTTATACTTGCCTAGGCGCGTAAATACGAGCAAATGCCACTCCATGCAAAGCCCTCCAATCGCGCCAGCAAGTGACCAGATATCCCTCATCTTCAACTTCAAGAGAAAGCTGCACAAAGCTAGGAAACAACATATCTGGTCGGCGCTTTCTTTAACCGGGATTGATAATAATGAATATACCACGAAGGGAGTGAAAACAGAGTAGCTTAGGCTTGGACACAGATGACAGATGTTTACATAGTATATCACACAAACTGAATTTTTTTATAAGAAGGGTTTCTCTTGCCAACCCAGTTCATTCATGGTAACAGGTGAGACCAGGGGTGGCAGTAAAAGTCAGGGTACACAAAATCTAGCCCTACCGTCCATGACCTCTAATGCCACAAAGTAAGGAAGACTATAACTGTGGCTACCCGCACAACAAAAGCAGCCACCAAAGACTAGGGAAAATAGTTTCATTCTTTTAATGCTTTTGTTTCTAACAATTTTCTTCGCGGAAGGTTGCATAAAGCATGTGTAAGGGAATAATATTTAAAATCTACATATGTTAAAAGAGTTGAGTCATCTTATGTTTTGTCCTACAGGTGTCCTTATGGAAACAAAATTCAGGATTACCTATATGAGGCAGCAATATAACCAATACTTAAAAATGAAAAAAAGGATGAATTAAAAGATGTTACTGGCACTATTAGGTTCTACAATTCCCTGCAACTCGACGTGTTCATTACAAAAGATACCATAATATCATTTGTTGCTTCTCCACAACAATTATGATACCAGATTAATGGATTGCTATAGAGTTGCTTCTAGAAATGTCATTTAGTCTGTAAAGATTTCAGAAAACACACACCAGAAGTTCTACAGAATTTAGAATGTGGATCCATTCCATCCAAAGTCAGAACCCTGCACAATAGAAAGTAATAGAGAGTATCACTAAAGCTTTATGGTAGCACAAAATGGAATGGAATGGTACCCGATAAAAGTTCTAATGTTAGAAGGAAATGATCATTTGAGGGGGTGCCTAGAAACTTGTGAAAGCTGATAAAAATTCCATTCATGGTTTCAAACAGTAAAAGGCTATTTACATTATCTAATGCTAATGTAAAGCATGCAAACACTGTGCATATTCTTGACTTTGATGGGCCTAAACAAACAGGAAAAATGCAATGAGAACAAAAGATGGTCTATGATGACCCAATGGTGGGAAAAGTAAATAAATTCAATAACTTGCCTTAGTGTCATAGAATTTGAGGAAAAATCGTGACTTAGGAACGGACAACTTAGTTTCAAGGATTGTCGCAATTGCAGCACTCAGTTTCTTGTTTACTTCAGGATTTAGGCCCCCAATAGATACCAGCTCACCATAAGCTGTTGGTTGCTCAGTCCCACCAAACGACATGGGTACTGATCCCTTCAAGATGATCATCACATACTGTAATGAAATAATACAAACTTAGTGGAACTTTGACTCAGGTAAATTAAGATAGCATTACAAGCAAACAAAAGTGCATGCCCACAAACATTCAAACAAGCATATACACATATCACAGTTACAAACAAAATTTTGAAAATGCCAACATAGATAATGCAAGGTAGACTGTTAGCCAAGTCAAATTATACTTTCACAACATCATCTGTCAGTCATGCAAACACGAGGCAAATGAGAATAACTGCTGCTTCAGATTCAGCATTTAGATGCCAACCTCCCTTGGTAGTGAAGTCAGTGTTATGATACCACAAAACTAAAAACTGAGCTTATATGTCATCTCATCTCCACTAATAAATAAGCCAAGTGATGCCTACGAAATACCTAGGAGTATTTATGCTTCCACCGGCCAGGTCATGCCCTGCCCCCTGGGTGGGCTATGCAGCCAAGGTGGTTGTTCAGGAATGACCAAGTAACACCTAGCAGCAAGGTATAGAGGATCAAGGTAATAGCATCATGTGTTCTTTTATGATTTGTGTTTTCCCTTAAGCTCAGTTTGGAAGGAGTACAAGTACAAATATGTAGAGTACAAAACCTTGTATTTTGTATGTATTTGCCCTGTGCATATCTGTATTTGTAATCTTTCCAAACTGAGCTTAATTATACAATTGATGATACAATTGTAAATTAAAATGCAATAAAATCATTGGATTGAATTGTTGTGGTCTGGGGGAAGAGCTACCAAAAGAAAGAAAAATTAAAACAAAACCAAGAGCGAAATGACAATGGATTGAAAGGAGAAATACCTCCAACCATATGCCTCAATTAACTTGGGCGCTTCTTTCTTATTTTAAATGTGAATTTATGAGCTATTGCCCAGATTTACCGAGACATTTGGTTATTTTATGATCGAGGATACCAGACACTTGACTACTCCACCAACCACAAACAACCATATAGTTTACCAGATTACCAATACTCAGTTTTTATTTTTTAATGCATTAAGCTCCTAATCCAGGCACAAATACCTCTTTCTCTCAAAGTGAGAACCGGTAAAAAATTCCAAGTCCTGAGCTAATGCAATCGTTTAACCTCAAATATAAGGCGCATTGCCTCCAGAAGAACAGCAGGCATCTCAGCCCAATCTACTGAATTATATATGGGCATTGCGCAAAAAACAATCATTTAATGGCAGGTACGTCCCGATAAGAGAGAGATAAGAGGTGCTTTCACAATTTACATGCGCATAATACTAATTAAAAAAATCCATTCCTTAATAACAAATTTTCAAGAATTCCAAAATATATAGAAGGAAACTTACATTAAAATAGAGGATAATATTGACATTTCAGGATTTGCATAATACATGAAAACCGAAAGGAAAAAGAAAAAATAGATAGAAAAATTAGAGAAAGAGAGGGAGAGACTTACGGCCTCTGGTTTTCCGATGATCTTAGCGACGGACTTAGTGGCCTCAGAAAGAATGGAGGAAGTGTCGACCCCATCCAGGCTTATGTTGGTGGACAAGTTCAGGCAAGGCATCGTTTTCTTCTTCCTGAACTAACAACTAAAACCCTCGACCCTTCCTCTCTACCTCTCAATCTCTCACTCCACACACACACACAGTCACACCACGCAGATGACGAGGGAACCATCCGTTTTATTTGTCTAAACATTCTAGATACTCAAGCTCTCGAGCCTCGACAATCGAGAGAGGGTGCTTTGGTTAATTATCGAAAAAGCCCCTCTTTCCTAAAGAAAATTACGACCGAGCTCCCTCTCGGACCAACGACATACAGAGTGATACAGGGATGGCATCATGGGCCTCATCGCTTTAAGGCGTAGTTGGGGGCCTACTGCCCACCCGAAGGCTTAATCGTTGGTGTGTTAGGCTGTTGACGCGGAATCGAATCTTGCAACTAATAATTTGGGGAAAAATGGGTTAAGGGGAACTTATTAATGGTGCATGGTGTAATAAGTTTTGGCATTTAAGTATTAAATAAAATAATAATTATAAACATTTTATATTTCATATAAAAAAATAATTTAGAGGAAAGGAAATAACTTAGTTGATTTGGACATTATATTTAGAATAATAAGAAAGTTTTCACTTGATTTATTCAAAAGAAATTAAGAATTTGATTAGTCTTTTTTTTGTGTTGACCTATCTTAAAACACTATGAAAAACTAACATAATTTGATTTGCCTTATTAGTTTTCCATTTTTACTTTTTTATTTGGTCCATGAAATGTTTTTCCTACATATTTTAGATTAGATAATACATAATTTTTTGCATTAAATCACTAATTAACTGTTGATATTTGAGGCTTACACATTTTTACACCTCATTCTAACAAAGCTTAAGCCTCGCATCAAGGCATATGTCTCACACCTAAAGACTTAAGCCTTTTAAAACAATGATCATGGCAACTAAAAAAGGCATCAGGTGGGTTTGGGGCTCAGATCCTGATTTAGAGATGAATCCTTGTCTTTGACCCCGATTTCCATCAAAGATAAAAATTGTCCTCAATTTTCAATTCCCAACAGAGGCAAATTCTCCATAGGGACCCAAACCCTTGAATTTTTTTTAATTAACAAGATTTTTGAAAAATAAATTTAATTAATTCTATGCCCCACCAAAACAATCTCCATCCCTAACCTAATGAAGTTTGATGAGGGTAAAAATGACACACCAATCATTCATTGCCACATGGACATCCAGAGCCACTTAAAATCACCTTGACATCTTACGTGGCAGGACCTTGGGAGAATGCTCTTTAGTAGTTCAGTTTATGCCGCCCAAGTACAACCGACCTCGCTTGAAGGCAGATCGACAAGAGCGACCAAGAAGGACGACAACCACCTCGGATCACTTATGCAATCCGGAAACTGCAAGCTGGCGAGTTACCTGACCTCGTAAAGACCTATCTACATGGTTTGCCCACCTTGATCCATTCGAGCCACTTAATGACCTCAAGATACATAGAGGGCATGCCACCCACGTAGTGACAGTTATAGGCACATGACGCCGGATCTGCTCCTTACACATGACGCCTCACACTGACCTTGTAGGCACATCCCACCATGCATTAGGAGTATCTCCCGTACTTATGTATTATTATTTACGAGAAATGTTCCAATGCACAGTGGAACGTGCCTATAAAATCGTTGTGAAACGCCTTTGTGAAGAGCAGATCCCAATTCCTTTAATGCATACTTACTTTGCAGAGCCATCTTGCCAACCAGCTCGTGCATGTCTTATGTAAACACGTGCAACTAAAGGATAAATATGTAAGGTGACTTTAAAAATCAAGGCAAACATCCTATATAATAATGTCAGGACAGGACACATGAAACGTATATATAAGTAAAGAGTCAAAATATAATTTAATATCATTTTATTAAAGATTCAAAGTTTAACTTTTATAATCATTACTAAAACAAGACAACTACTTTATATATATATATATATATATATATATGATAGATCAATTCATCCAACCTAATGCATACGTGTCATGTGAATAGGGATTATATCTCTACCCACAAAACACTACCACCATGTATTTGGAACATCTTTCTATGAATAATGAGAGATATTTTCAATGCATGTCGTTATGTGAAAAGAGATTGATGAGGGTGGATTTGGCCCTCCAATGATATTATGACACATGGCATCTCGGAACAATTAGGTGACACCCGGAACCACTTAGGCAACAACTTGTCTTAGCTAAGTTGATGGTGTCCCACCTGGTGGCCTGGCACGGGCGCCGACCTGGCAGCCTGGCCCAGGCGCAAACTGGTGGCTTGACACAGGTGCCAACTTGGCGGCCTGGCATAGGCACCGACTTAGCGACCTGCGAGACGTGCTCGCCGGCAAATTCGGCGTGCATATCCTAACACTCCCACGATCCTTGAAAGTTGGCCCATGTGCCGAACAATCTAGAGGGTGGTCAACGTGCATGGCGGTTGTCTCAGGGAATCTCGGACCACTTAGACGACTTCTTGGAAATCTCGGATGCAGTGCGTGAATCTTACGCCAAATTATGCCTATATAAAGGCACCAACCCCAATGGCATAGGGGGGAAAGTAAGCATATTCTAGCTCTCATACTTTGTGATTTTTAGCTCACAATCTACTATGAGAGTATTGATTTAAGCATCGGAGGGACCTCGCCGGGTTAGCCACCCTGGGTCCTCTGACATTGGTTCCTTGCAGGTCTCTAAAGAACTATGAAGCTCAACAATCAATCCAACTCGCCACCAGGCAGCTCGGCACCTAATAGGCAGCTCGGCCCAGTCAGTTTGGCACCTAACCTGCCCAGGTAGGACCAGTTCGGCGTCTAACCTACCCAGCTCGGCACCCAATCTGCCCCCAGCTCGGCCTGGCCAACCCGGCATCCAGGTCCTCATCCAGCAAAAGTTCTCCACTTTGGCCTCTGAGTCATCGGCCACTTGGAAGCAGACCAAATGATAAGATACTTAGCACGAAAAATTAGTACTTCACCAAAAATTGATTCATCAAAGATGTTAGAAGAATTTGTTGGTAGGAGATCCAAATTCAAATAAAATTAGAGAAATGCTTTGTAGGAAATAGCAAACCAGGTTCTGGACATTCATATCCCAACATACTTTGGATCTGCTACTCACAAAATGTTTCCACATTCCCTATTCACAGAATACCACCGTTGTATTGAGAACAATGCACAACTGTAATGTTCTGTCTATAGGAATGTGGGAAGTAATTGTGAGTAGCTGATCCTAGCCCATCAAAACCACAACTAGAAAAGTCAAAATGGTTTGGGCCTTGGGGAGTTAAACCCATCAGAAGAATTGTCTCTCAAGTCGGCCCATTCTGCCTTATCATTATTGAAGGGGAAGAGAATATAAGGCCAAATAAAGGGCTGAAAACCTGCTGGAATGGTGGATCAAAATGATAATTTGAAAAAAAAAAAACAAGTTTTTAATGTGATATTTAGTCTGAGTTTGGAAGGAGTACAAATAATACAAAATATAAGGTTTTGCACTACACATATTTGTACGGTTTTCTACAGTTAAATAGGGAGATCCAACTTATTTGCACTCCACATATTTGTAAGGTTTTGCACTTCACATATTTGTATGTGCACTCCGCTATTCCCTGTTACTGGAATAGTGGAATACCAGAACTTTTCTATTGAAACTTACTAAAAGCAATCTAAATCTCTTGTTGAATGTTACTGCATTTTCTACAGTTGTTTGGATAACACATTTTTCATAGATAGTGAGCCATAGGATGGGTTTTGAGAAAACCTAAATCTCATTTTTTTTTTAAAAAAAAGAAAAACCTAGGAAATTGCATCATGTCATCAAACCAGGTCAATCCACCAACCTGACCAACTTAAATTAACACAGCACATTGATAAAAAATCATTGAGAGTACTAACTATCAAAAAAAAAAAAGAAAAATCACTGAGAGTACTTTTCTTTTCCTACTTAGTTCTTTTATAAAGCATGATAATTTGATTGGTCTGTCCAACTTGGGATATCTAAATCGGTAACCTGCCTGATCAAATTATCAAAAAACTTAAAAAGGAGTAGAGACTAGAGAGAATGTATTGGGGTGGGGGGATCAGGAAAGGTTGCCTGGACTTCCATCAATGGTTCTGTATCAAACAAGTTGCAGGAATTCATTGTAGATAATACATGATTTGGCAATGGCTCCCATTGCTTCTTTTATCATACAATCCAGTTGTCGCTATAACGAATCTACCATGACCCAAAAAATTACAGTGAATTTCTCGATAATTTGTACATATTAATATGAAATTAAACAATGTTAATTGCCTTTTTTTCTTTTTGTTTTTCACAACAGTCCAACTGTACATGCCTCAAATTTGGTAGGTACCAAACAACCCACTGTACTTACCCTCAGCCCAACACTTAAAACTAATTAACATCATATTTGTAAACACTACTTGACATCAATCGATTTCGTTTTTACATGGAAGGAGCAGTTATTCTCTGTTACTAGAAGCAAACCAATGAAAGGAGACAAAAGTAATTTGGAATCCAATCAAAGGAAATGAATGGTAAAGGCAAGTTATAAAAGCTTAAATAACCCAATACATTCCAATCTAGCTTCGGCTTCTACTCCATATAAGTCAATAAAAAATTAAATTAGATTCTTAGAGATCATACTTCATAGTTTTGGAGATTATCAAGAAGACCAAAGCCTTAAATCATTTCCAATACTGTATGCGACCTAAAAACATAAAAATGTATTCTCAAATACAATAATTGATAGATTTGAGAACAAAAACAAATTTGAAGTAAGATATCACCGGTGGAAGTGTAGATGCAGTGATGGGAAGCCCATTTTGGATAAATGATATGAACATGAAGAAAAGAACCATAAAAATGGAATATTAATGGCTATACTTCCAGATCGAAGGAAAACGAAATATATCTAACAATATCTGAACTTAAATGGTGAAGTTTTAGGCTCAGATTTGAGCCTGATTGCAATGAGGAAGGCAGGAGCTCAAATCTAGATATGGATTTGAGATATCTTGACTACACAAAGAAGTTGCTGATGACAGATATCAAACATCAATAACAGCCACCGTGTCGAACTTGATCGAGGTCTGTAGGAAGTTGCGACGACGAACACAAA